GGCTGGGCTGTTCTCGTAACAAGCGCAGCAGTTTCGCGCACGTGTATATATTACGTATTCTTTGGAACTTCACAATCACACTAGTGTTGTTCCGATACGAGTAACTACAAGTAATTACTCGATACTTTCTTCAAGTACTGAGTACTTTTTGTACTCGAATCCTTCCCGCAAGTACTTAGGTGGGTATCGAGTACGCGATTAAAGTATTACTTGGTTTTCCAAAAATTCTGAATTTCGGTTCTGACAATATATGAATCATCCTGTTGTGGTTTTTGCACCGCGTTAAGTTGGCTAATAAAGAAAGTGTCAATTCCTGCTTTCCCGTACTAGTCAATTATTCAAATTTTGCAAGATACAAACTTGTGGCTACTTTTTCGGTAAGTTTTGGTCGGAGAGTACTCGAACCGATTCTGTTTTTCTTCACATGACATAAGTATTTACAATGAGTTCGATATGAGTAAGTATCGAGTACTTCTCTCCGATACATTTGTGGCATCGATACTTTTCTTCAATATTTTTTAAGAGTACAGATATCGAGTACAAGGTCGTATCGGAACAACACTAAATCACACTGCCAAAGAGCGAATCAACAGGATTTTAGAGGCAGTCTTCTCGTGTTAGTGAGGTACCCATTCGCAATGCAAATCGAAGAAGAACGAAGTACTTCAGACTTACGCCTCTAGCGACGAAACTTTTAAAGCTATTGACAAATTTGTACAGAACAATGGTTTGAAATGGAGCAAGTGTGCGGATATTTGCGGTGGTTGGAAAAATGAAAGGAGCGATGTCTAGAATGAAGCAAGAGGCAGGAAACGCCACGAGAAGTCACTGTATGATCCCTCGGTATTCCCTGGCGACTAGGAAGATGCCGCCACTAGATTTAAAACCCGTACTGGATGACGCTGCGAAGATAACAGAGGCCTGCGAAATTAAAATACATCTCTGGTTTTGGATGTGTATACATCTTTTGTTTCGGTAGGGGTAAAATTTGCGAAGCTGTAACGCATATCCCAGCACAAAATCTCGAAGGGCTTAGCATGTGTATTTCAGCAAAAAAAATCTATTTTCATTAGAGGCACCCTGTGTTTGCTTGCCAAATGGTTGCATACATTTAGGCATATACATAGTAAGAGGAAATGCGCTACAATTGATTATTACTTCCGTTTGTTTAAACTCCGCACATGCATACGGCTTTGTACCTATGTATGTACATAAATATGTATGGACTCATTTGTTGCAACTGGGCATGAATCACGTAACTTTGAAACGATAGTCGTTCAAACGATACTGACAAAACGATGTTGTCAAAACAATGATTTATGCATTTGTGTTGCTGTTACGTGTTACTGTTACGTGAAGAAAAACTGGAATCGAGTTGACGATATCGCACAAACGATCAAACAATTTTTGATTTTTATGAACCAAGACAATCTCGACACGATATCGTTCAGCCGATTGTCGTCATACGTGATTCATGCCCTGGTGTTGATATTCGCAGATGGTGTTAGGCATAGGTTTAGTAGTCTATTTTGATAAAAAAGCAAGACGAAAATTTAAAAAATACTGAAATCATTTTAACTGGGACCGTTGATAACTGATGAACATACATGAATATATGTATGTATAATATGCATTTGTATGGATGATATAATAGCTCTGATCCAATACTTTACGTGTAAAATCCTGGAAATTGGTCAAACAGCAAAATCACTCTCTGAAGTGAGAGTAAAAAGTGAGTAACAGCAAAACGTACGGAACAAAAAAGCATCGAGTAAAATCCTGCAACATGAACTGCATTTACATGAACCACAGATTATATTCCGAAAAGAAAAACTAAATTTAGGAATATGTACAAATAGAAATGCTCAAACTATAAGCTCAAAAACAATAACTTATGCGGTGTTTCGAAGATATTTTAACGCCCTTGAGTCACAAGTATATACAAGTATATTTTATCAATCATACCGATAATTTCATGTATGAAAAGAATTAAAAATGAAAATGAATAAAAAAATGAAAATGAATAGCAAAATTAATAAAATTAAGTGAAATTAATGTTTAATTTCTAACCTAACCTACATTTGTATGTGTGTAACTGAATCGCCTAATAATAGCTTTACATATAAAAAGATTTTGCTAATTTTCGAGCTTAACTCCCTAATCTGTTATTAGAAAAAGGGATTAGCCATGCAAAATTATAATTAAAAATATCTCAGATTAAACCGATAACTTTTTGGTGTCCAACCTGGTTTTATCGATTATACTTGCGGAGAAGAGGAGGAATGTCAAATTTTAAAGTAGTCAAAAATTGACACTAGTAAGGAAAATAGGTTTGTAAAGGTATATTTAATAAAATATTCAGTTAAAATATATTTAAATGGCATGTGTTGCAGAAAAAAATGACCTCGGTGGCACAGAGAAGAAGTGAGTGAATAACAAGCTCAACAAATTTGACAGCTAACGAGCTTTGATTGCGGTTATATTTATATGTAAACGTACTTTTATGCTTTGCCGTTCCCATATGTTTACACATCAAATTTCATGAGTACCTAGTACTCACGCCTTTTTTTCTAGCACGTCGAGATTTTTTTTTTTATTGGTGACATGTACATTTTAGAATTTGTAGCAATTTGCATGAAAACCCCATAAATAAACAAAGTAATCAGAAAAACGTATGTAACTTCGTTAACGCTAAGAAAACTGATAATAGTCGTTTTCACTACTAATTTCCATATAGAATTCAAAAAATTAAACTCATTTATCACTTACATTGCTTTCGTGAAATTGGCTGTAAAAATTATTTTCTTAGCGTTATTTTCTTCGCTGGTTATCGAAGATCGAACATCGAAAGTGAAATTATGAGCTTTGCAACCGTGTCGAAATTTTCGTTGAGTATCGAATTTTCTGTCGAACAGAATTGTGCTTTCGATGGTGTAGCGAAGTGTTAGAAAATTGTGAAAAAATTTGCATTTGTTTTTTTTACTTTATGGCGGCTAGACACTAATTTTAAAAAATGTTTATTAATTCGAAACACTACACTTAAACCCTCTTAAACATTTTCTACTCCTGGCCAGTTTACCAAGCTCTCATCCTCTGACGAATCGTTGAACCAGAACTCCGTTGTACTCATTTTCACCACGTTTTTATTAGCTTGCTTTCTTTTTTATTTCATTTTAATTTGTACAAATTTACATACATATTTATGTATAAGCACACTATTTAGTTTGCTCGATTTGTAAAGAAAACTTCTCAGCGGTGAAAAATATACTATTGTAAACAACCTACCCGAGCGAAATTCACAATAGTGCTATTCTTCATCGAATAAGCGTCATAATACCAAATGAAAATTCTTTCGATCAGCACTTTCGACCACAGTCGAATGCAACTCATAATAGGGGCCTTACTTTTACATTTCTATGTGAGACTACATTTTCAAGAAATGCTTACATAAACAAGCAATTTTTAAGCAAAAAGAAAACAAAACCGATTTCAATTCCCTTCTAAGAATTTAAGATTATCGTTAATCTATTCATGATCCAATGGTCGGATTTAAACCAAATTAGACCACCTGTCATTTAAAAAATAATTATATTATTTCATTTAAAAAATAATTATAGTAATCGGTTAACGTGGTCGAAAGTTATGCGGTAACATACATAGAAAAAAATAATAGAAAAATATTCCGACGAATTGATAACCTTCTTTTTGTGAAGTCGGTTAAAAACAAATACACCAGCAAGCTTTCATCGTCAAATGATTTCAGGCTAAAATTGTCAAAGCTCCCAATAAACTTAAAGGAATTAATGAAATCATCAGAGCATAAAGTTTGCATTGTGTTTTCGTAGACATTTGAAGAGTAGGGGGGCCGCGAGATTTTTTTAGCACAACAAGGGTGCCGAGGTGAAAAAAGTTTGGGAACCCATGTTCAGATGTATTCAAAAAGTTCCAAAAATTTCATAATAAAACACATTCATTTCTCGATACTAGGAAATGCAAAATTGAATGCCCCACTTTTCTTAGGACATCGCCTTGGGAAACAAATACATTTTCGAATGTGAAAAGGATTGTTTTACTGATTATTTTTTCGATTACTATACATTACATTTTCCCACTGGGCCTAGTCACACCCGTCACCGTGTAATGAGCTTTGTGCTTTATAACAATCAAAATGTAGATTAATAGAAATAAAAAGTTAATTTTTTATTGGTGAGGTAGTCGCTTTGTTTCTGTCATCTCTTCTGTGAACGCCGAAGTTGCAGAAATGGCGTAGAAATTAAATAAATTTTTTAATTTGTCAATGTTATTGTGGCTTATTAACATTTTATTTGTACCACGATTGTTTATTAGGAAA